AGGACTATGTACAAAAGACGTGTATATGTCAGTAATAATGCATGTGAATTCTATATCCTAAAAATTATATGGCTCCCGCCGTCTGATGCACTTTGGTTGGGGTCTCTTCCATTCCCCTTTGTGTGGGTCTGGCCATAAGGAAGCACTGTCCCATTGGGTTCGATATGGTTCGCCGGGAGCCGGGGGAAACCCAAAGGGCCAGGTGGGCAAGTAGCACATCTCCTACACAACGATGTCAGTCATTTTGTGAACAACTTGACTTGATTACTACCTCAGAACTACAGGCCGGTCGGCACTTCACCCACACGCTCCAGTCTAACCAGGAGATCAACTGTGTCAAATCCTCCTTCCATTCGCCCATGAGGTCATGTATGTGATCGGCTTCAGGGCGTTGTTCCGGAGGATAAAAGGGGTCGACCCCAATAATTATTCCAGAAGCCCACATCTTCGTGGCGACGCGGCATATTTCATGCGTAGTTTCCCGCATTGCCTGCAGAAGCAAACGTTCAGAGGGCATCAATGTCGTTCCCCGAGCAACTATGGAGGCCGTGTGCGATGTAGCACACTCTCGAAAAACTGGCGCAGCCCACAAATTTGTCGTGTTGGCAGTGACGGAGGTATTGGGAGGTAGAGCTGAAAACACAGTGTAAGGCAAAAGCACGGTGCGCAGTCGTCTCTGAATTTGTTGTGCATGGTCAAAGATCGACCCGTCGTCCAGCGTCATGTTCAACAGGTACTGCATAAAGTCCAGGCGGCTGGAATATCGATCAACCACCACCCGCAAGACCGTTTTCCAGTCAATGCTGCTGGTTGTCACGGATGATCGTGTTAATACTTGATCTAGCCTGTCTCGGACGTGTTCTATATCCTCCGATGATATTCCTCCCACCCGATGATCCCACCGCTCCAAGCCTACACGGCGCGGCACCAAGGAAGGAACAAGATCGGTGTCGTAGAAAGAGACGAGCCCAGAAAAATCAAGGATAATTCGGGTCTCTCCTGGATAATTTGCGCGCCATGAAGCAGAATGCATTAATTCAAAAATATAATGCACTGATGTCCGAGAACAAATCAGACCTATGTCAGAACATGGATATGGTCGCTCACCGGTAGTAGGGTCCTCCGGCAAATCCGTAGGCGGGCCACCGCCGATGCGAGTGCTCTCGAGATTCAAGAACGAAACGACCTCCATGTGAGAGGTAAAGTCACAGATCATGATTTCACTATGACCGTCGTTAATAACATATCATCAAGGAATTATATATGGGTCCGCACAAATTCACTTCCATCCTGTAACTCACAAATCAGCATAGGGCATTGATGCATCTCAAAATACAACAAACCTCACAAAACCGTCCAGGCCGTATTTCTGACCCCATCTACACAGATCCTTAATGCGCTGCTCTTCATTCCACACCCATTCGGGTTTCATGTTCGACCATGCCACGAGATCTTGAGTGTCCATGGTGCCCTCGGGGAGGTTCGCAGCGCTGCTTCCGTCGAAATAGAGCACTTTCATCGGTCGAGTGACTGTAAGGGTGAGGTGCCAGCACCCTGCTTCTATCGACCCTTTGCAGAACGCTATGGAGTGATCTGGCTCTACAGCCACCCAATCTAAAGTGGTCGGCATATGGGGACCGCTGGCTCCATGATAGAGGAGAGTGCCCACGGGAACAGTCCCTGGGACTATTGTATGACCTGCAGAACGTAAATGATGAGTCGTGACATTTGCGTGGCATTCAGTAATTTCAGATACCAATACGATAACGCGTGTTTGCCCAGTGTTGAAGCAGAGAATTTGCCGTGTCGAACACCAGATGTCCTGTCGCGTTCACTGCAGGCGCTTTATCAAGGTCCCATTGATCATTTTCGATCGGGTAAAAGGATGGAGGCGTATGACTCAACAGAGGTATCTGTGCAGTCAAAACTCGTTCAAAGGCAAGAAAAAGCCAAACAGATACGGCTTTCCTTGCAGCCAGCATTTCGACAAAGGGTCAAGGGCCTTCGTTATATACTGGACCACAGCGCCAACCTCCAGTGGTTGAAATGCACCGCCACTTCTTGTTGTGTGGGGCGATGAAGGAAAATTACCAATGCCGTGGGGGTATGTAAGTCCTTTTCCTGCTTTGGGCGCATCCCCGACTCCAAGCTAGCGCTGAGGGCTTTGTTACATAACTCCGGACTCATCTTCGTGCCCATGAGCGCTTGAGCCTCATTCGGTATCGTTTTTGTTACATAAACAAATTCATGTAATACTCCCATGTTTGCACAGAATGCATGATTTGGTTGAGAATTTGATTTTCGTGGTCTTATGATGAATTTCGGTGCTCTCTTGATCAAGCCTCTTTAAAAGTATCACCCAGCTTCAACTATGTTTAACGCAGTTAGGTATTCCCCGTATCAAAGCTTGCAAACATGTTTCGATTCAGCGTTCATCTCCATTTTTTGAGGAGCATGTTATTTTCCTTGACTGTCTGCCCAATGCAGAGTTTGTTGTGTGGTACATACGTGGCGCGCTCAACTCCACTGCAATGATGTTACAAAGACTATGTACAAAAGACGTGTATATATCAGCAAGAATGCACGTGAATCGTATACCCTAAAAACCATATGGCTCCCGCCGTCTGATGCACTTTGGTTGGGGTCTCTTCCATTCCCCTTTGTTTGGGTCTGGCCATAAGGAAGCACTGTCCCATTGGGTTCGATATGGTTCGCCGGGAGCCGTGAGAAACCCAAAGGGCCAGGTAGGCAAGTAGCACATCTCCTACACAACGATGTCAGTCATTTTGTGAACAACTTGACTTGATTACTACCTCAGAACTACAGGCCGGTCGGCACTTCACCCACACGCTCCAGTCCAACCAGGAGATCAACTGTGTCAAATCCTCCTTCCATTCACCCATGAGGGCATGTATGTGATCGGCTTCAGGGCGTTGTTCCGGAGGATAAAAGGGGTCGACCCCAATAATCATTCCAGAAGCCCACATCTTCGTGGCGACGCGACATATTTCATGCGTAGTTTCCTGCACCGCCTGCAGGAGCAAATGTTCAGATTGCATCAATGTCGTTCCCCGAGCGACTATGGAGGCCGTGTGCGATGTAGCACACTCCCGAAAAACTGGTGCAGCCCACAAATTTGTCGTGTTGGCAGTGACGGAGGTATTGGGAGGTAGAGCTGACAATATAGTGTAGGGCAAAAGCACGGTGCGCAGTCGTCTCTGAATTTGTTGTGCATGGTCAAAGATCGACCCGTCGTCCAGCGTCGTGTCCAAAAGGTGTTGCATAAAGTCCAGGCGGCTGGCATATCGATCAACCACCACCCGCAAGACCGTTTTCCAGTCAATACCGCTGGTTGTCACGGGTGATCGTGTTAATACTTGATCTAGCCTGTCTCGGACGTGTTCTATATCCTCCGATGATATTCCTCCCACCCGATGATCCCACCGCTCCAAGCCTACACGACGCGGCACCAAGGAAGGAACAAGATCGGTGTCGTAGAAAGAGACGAGCCCAGAAAAATCAAGGATAATTCGGGTCTCTCCTGGATAATTTTCGCGCCATGAAGTGGCATGCATTAATTCAAAAACCTGATACACTAATGTCCGAGAATAAATCAGACACCTCCAAAACATGGATATGATCGCTTACCAGTAATGGGATCCTCTGGCATATCCGTAGGCGGGCCGCGGCCGATGCGAGTGCTCTCGAGATTCAAGAACGAAACGACCTCCATGTGAGAGGTAAAGTCACAAATCATGATCTCACTATGACCGTCGTTAATAACATATCGCCAAAAAACTACATATGGGTTCGTACAAATTCATTTCCATCCTATAACCAACAAATCAACATTGGGCATGCATGCATCTGAACATCCAACGAACCTCACGAAGCCATTCAGGCCATACTTTTGACCCCATTTACACAGATCCTCAATGCGCTGCTTTTCATTCCATACCCACTCGGGTTTCATTTTCGACCATGCCACGAGATCTTGAGTGTCCATGGTGCCCTCGAGGAGGTTCGCAGCGCTGCTTCCGTCAAAATAGAGCACTTTCATCGGCCGAGTGACTGCAAGGGTGAGGTGCCAACACCCTGTTTCAATTGGCCCCCTGGAGAAGATTATGGAGTGATCCGGCTCTACAGCCACCCAATTCAAAGCGGTCGGCATACGGGGACTTTCCGCTCCATGGTGGAGGAGAGTGCCCACGGGAACAGTCCCTGGGACTATTGTATGACCTGCAGGACGTAAATGATCAGTTGTGACGTCTGCGTGGCGTTGGGTATTTTTAGATACCTATACGATAACGCGTGTTTGCCCAGTGTTGAAGCAGGGAATTGGCCGTTTCGAACACCAGATGTCCTGTCGCGTTCATCACAGGCGCTTTATGAAGATCCCATTGTCCAAGATCATCTTCGACCCCCGCCGGGCGAACATCTGAATACGTATGACTCAACAGAGGTGCCTGTGCAGCCAGCACTCGTTCAAAGGCAAGAAGAAGCCAAACGGTTATGACTTTCCTTGCAGACAGCATTTCGACAAAGAGTCAAGCCGCTCAAGGGCCATTGTAAGTTTAGTTATATACTGGGCGCATTCATAAAGTTATGGTTTGATATGGTTTGATTCTCTTCATGAATGTTGTTCCAGTTGTTAAGGTATCATGTGACCTGCGGCAGAAGGGAATAACCAAGCAGGGCGACCGTCCATCACATCAGACATCAGACCCATCTTATTGACAAGAGTCGATTGAGTAATGTAACCTAGTCTGTAAATTTAAAACGACACAACAATCAAACATGCGATGGCAAGCTCAGCGATCCAGCTTCAGAAAACACAGGGCTTCGAGAGCAACCCAAACCTTGGAGTACGTCGATATTCACTTGATAATGACATATCAGCGACTGGCTTTAATGCAGATAGTATAGCGTCAAAGCATGGTGTGACATGAGGTACCATAAGAAGCATGACATGAAGTGTGGGATGATGTACGGGGATTATTTTAGGCAGTCCTGAATGGACAACATGAGCACAGGACCCTAGAGGATGACAGTCCAAGACATACTTGTGGTGCGAGGCTTTGATGGCTGCGACCTTGGCCTTCTTCTCAGCAACACGCTTTTGGATAAGGGCACTAAAGGAGAGATTACTACGGCGGACCGGGTTTCGTGCAGACAATTATCACTTACTCGTATTCTGCCTTCTGCTCCTTCTGGCGGTCAATCCGGCGACGGTTGAGGGAACGGAGGTGACGGGCACGTTGCAGACGGATGGGAGTGACCAATCTTTGGATTTTGGGTCTGGGCAGGGAGAAAACTTCAGCCCAGAAAAAAAGCAAGGTGACTATACTGACGCCTTGGTGTAAGGTTTGGCGTTCTCCTTCTTCGAACTCTTCACCTCACGCCTCACAACGTACTTCCTGACATCGTCCTCCTTCGACAAGTTGAAGAACCTTCTGATCTTTGTTGCCCTTTTAGGACCAAGTCGCTTGGGCAGAACAGTGTCGGTGAGCCCAGGGATATCATTGTCGCCCTGTTTAACGATGACGACAGAGAGAACAGCAATGTCCGGGCCAACGATGCAACCACGGACAGATTTGCGCTTCCTCTCGCCTGCGCGGCTTGCACGATAGCAAGAGTGGTTGTCGGTCAAGAGAAGTCTGACACGGTAAGGGAGTAGGACGCCCTGCATCATGGGGAAACCTTGCTTGTCGTTACCACCGGTGATACGGAAAATGTAACCCTTCCATTCGTCTCCAAGGATGTCTGCCTCTACCTCTTGCGAGATCTTCTTGTCGAAGAAGATGCGGCTAGTTTCAAGTACTTTGGTTAGTTTTCAAAGGAAGAGTTGTGACAATCGTACAATCTTCTCTCGTCGTCGATGTTGATAGTCTTTTGAGCCCCAGTGGCGGGGTCTGGATAGAATTTCAGTTCAGAGTGTATTGAGCATATTGGACATCAAACGTACTGGCAATGTTGATCTTCATACTGCCCACGGAGAACTGTCAATACGAGCTCAAAAGTGATATCAACATTGATAATTCACCTTACGAAAGGGAAATAGGCCTTGTCACCGTGGGCTGCAGCGACGAGGAGGAGTCTTGATCTTGCTGGTTAGCCTGGGCCTTGTATTCAACAGTGGCAGATTCCGGCTTGTGGCTGAGGTGGAAAATAAGGTTTGCTACTATACAGTTACTAAGCCACATACCAACTCGTCACGCGTCACATTACCTTTCCGTGAACGCGTCCAACGACACTCCTCAAGACATCCTCTCCGTCAACAAAAACTGTGAGCGTTCTGCGAAGTAGTATTGTTTAAAGCTGACAAGATGGTACAGATTCATCATGGGTCGTATGCACGCTCCCGGCAAGGGCATTTGTGCGTAGCAAAAATGTCTTCTATTGATATATGGGATCTATCCTGATCATATTCATCAGCGTCCTCCGCCCTTCCTTACAAACGCTCCCCTCCTTCGTGGCTCAAGACTACTCCAGATGAAGTCGTCGAGCACATCATGAAATTGGCTCGCAAGGGTCTCACTCCCTCTCAAATTGGTGTTACCCTCCGTGACTCGCATGGTATCCCTCAAGTGCGCTTCGTCACTGGTAACAAAATCCTCCGTATCCTCAAATCCAACGGTGCGTGCTTCACCGACAAATTACTTCACCAAACACTCATGCATTGAACTGTCATCTGCCTCGCTGCCGTGTATTTCTGCTACTGCATCTCGTTTTGTACATGCCTTTTGTTTGGGGATAGGAGTGGCACCATCCATCCCAGAGGACCTTTGGCACCTCGTCAAAAAGGCGGTGGCCGTGCGCAAGCACCTTGAAGTCAACCGCAAAGACAAGGACTCCAAGTTCCGTCTTATCTTGATCGAGTCTCGTATTCACCGTCTTGCTCGCTACTACAAGACAAAGCAGCAACTCCCTCCTACATTCAAGTATGACTCTGCTACTGCTTCTACTTTGATTGCGTGAACGGTAGTGGGCTTTGGCGTGTAGTAGCTGTTGGGGCAGATTATATCTCTATCATTGTCGTACAATCCCATCACTGATGTCATGCAAAAAATAGGCTTATGCAGAACTATGTGCAAATATCCGTTCTTGTGATCAAGGAGATCATAACCCCAGAGTTAAAGTTGTCCTTGTACATCATCCCTGAGTGTTTCCAAATGCAGTTCTTCAATTGAATGTTGGCAGCCTATACGGTCTTGATGGAGCCGTCTTGTAGTGATGCGGCAGACTCATCATCCTGACCACATGGCTTCAAGACAAAGCGGCCAATATTGCAATGCTAATAATACCAAGTACACCGTGACATACGTCAGTGGTTTAGTGGCGGCTCTGATAGCTTTGGTGCCAATGGTGGAGAGGACAACGTTGGCGAGAGGGGCAATTGCAGGAATTTCCAGGCTATTTCCAGGAGTACTAACAACGGCGGCAAGTTGTGCTCTTGATCAGCTCGTAATTAGCCCTGACTACGCTGCTCTCTGGACGACATCCACATCCATCATCGTGACGTCAGTCTTAGCTGGTCAAATGGTCGATCATAGTCACATTTATTCCAAACAGTCTGCGCAAGACGTATTGGTAAGTGTCATCAATACAATTCATAGTTTTGTACGCACAGGTAGTATGCTTGACCGCTTTGCAACAGGGTTTTGGAGAGTCTGGGAAGCCCATCTCCTTTGTAGAAGGAACGGATACGGCTCCCCAAATACTCAGTACTGAAATTAATTTGTGCGAGACGCCATGAAATGGCAAGGAATTCAAGATAAGAGTGTTGCTGTACGCGTTTATGATGACGACAGCAGAAGCACGGCCTGGTGCTACAGAGCTTCTCCTTTCTAAGCACGAGATACCGCCAGCTCGGGCGCAATTGTGTCCACCACGTCATGCTGTGTCGCTGCGCGATGGTGTTTCCTATTTGCTCTTCTTTCATTCACTACTATATACCGCTTCTATGTGGAGTTGTTGGTGGAATATTTCGGTTACCAAACTATAGCACGGATAGTGCTATACCGCGAATGTCACCGCTATACGTTTACCAAGTTCACCCTCTCACCCACACCCATTCTCTAACGATATGACCATAGTTTCAAATGATCCTACTTGGTGGCCGTCCATCAATGCATATCGTTTTGCCAGCTATTTTGGAGGTTCGTGGAGAGCAGTCAGATGTTGAAGCTGAGCGCTGACTTGGATGTCTCAATTCAACCTTGGCTCCGGTATCGCAGTTGCCGTCTTTGTTGGGGTGATGTATGATTGGGGTGAGCACGATAATATTAAAGGATCACTGATATCTTACAAGTATTTTCAGCACTCACATTCGCACAAGAGGTATGTCGATGCCATGACCGGAGCAGCCATCTTGCTAAGAATCCTTTTATAGGTCGAACTCATCTGGGTGAGTAGAGTCTCATGGCAGAGGGAACACACATGAAAATGCACTTATTTACAGAGGCAACGCTGGTCCATAATGACAGTGCTGTATCTCAGTGTATGTAGCTTGTTTGTCGTAGTTGCCATTGTGTGCTGACTCGAAAGTATCCTAGGTGCGCTACCTTGGAATCCTATCTGTTGCGTATGTTCAGAAGGCTAAATAATTGGTGTTGTGCTAATCGTCTGCTCATAATCAGCCTTGTTACCCTGAGTATGTCTCTTTAGTTCATTCACTATCTTTGCTTCCTCTGATCAACGGCATTCAGGCAGTCTTCCGACCATCTCGCTGACAGATACAGTGAGTCTTCTGTATAAATGCCTGCCATTCCCCTCAAATTAACCGTGGTGTTCTGTAGCAGTGGGTGTGGTTCTTTGCCGACTTCTCAGTTCACTAATGGCTGCCCGCTATGCTACCAAAGATGTGAGTCTGTGTGGAGTGTGTGCTACCTGAGACTGGTCACTGATCGGATTTGTCAGGCTGGATGATGTACACTGTATGGAATTGGACGGTTTTTGTGGTATTTGCGATGCTGTGGGGTGAGTTTTGCACTTGCGAGACCTCAGTGATGTTGGAATGACTGAAATATGCTGCAAGTCATCATCATCACTCGGTTGCATGCCATGTATCAACGAGACAGAATGATTCTGATATTTCTCGTTGTCACCTTCCTGGCGATCAACACTTTCAGTGGAGTGACAGCCATAATTTCAATGATGCATCCCTCAGGAGGTACGCTTAATTATAGATGAAAACGAACGTGCATAAAGATCATTGATGGATACCAGAGGAACTCATTCTCTCCGGCACCTACCAGTGCAGGATTAATTATACAGGAGATACCCTAGTTCTGTATTCTGCTGCTTGGATACTCTACATTGTGTGGGAGGTCCTCACACTATGTCTCGCAGTCTGGATTGCGGTAAAGCACTTCCGTGAACTGCAGTTACATCCGGCAAGAGGGATTATTGGGGACTGTTTTATGATATTGATGAAAACTCATGTGCTTTATTTTGCGAGGTAAGTTCGTATTGTGATTATTGTCCTTTTTTCCACTGAAGGGTTGGACATGATAGCTTTGTTGCTGTCTCTTGCTTCCAGCTCTTTATGGATTTCTCTCCAACATCATCAAATGTATGTGAATCTTTCACTTACCTCTAGTAGACATGTGACCACGATCTATCATTTCTGTAGAGCCAATTTCTCCTAGAAGGTCCTTTGTCTGGCTTGTTTCAGATTTTGGAGGTCGTGCAGATGTTCGTGCTAGGACCACGGCTGATCCTTGGCATTCGAGAATATAATGCTGAACTCGTGGCTGACTCCGACGCAGCAACTGGCATGACCTCAATCGCTTTCCAAGAGCGTGTGCATATATCGACTAGCAGTAGTGTGTAATGCTCGGTGAAGTTGACGAGAACCGTTGTCTAGTGCTTGCAGGAAGCACGGGAAATTTGTTTTTTTTTGTCTCCATTCCAAGCCTCGTTGCGGTGCTCAAGGAGTTATTTAATGTCATAAAATAGATGTCAAGGAGACATAGGTTTAGGCGATATTTTCGTCGCAGTATTTATTCGAATCATTTGCTATAGGTCTTGACATTGACAATGTTTCAACCAATCTCCTAGATATCTCTACTGTACCAACGAAGGAAAGCAGTGCCCAGAAGCTAACGGGAAAGTCGAGGAGTGAGAGATGTTTATAGGCGATGTCGCCGGAACGTTAGACGCAAGTTTCTATTTGCTCCTGCTTCTCATCTTCGAGGACAACTCGTGACCCACCTCTCGTCGTATCGGATGCACATTGACTTTCGTAATATGGTGTAGCCGTCTTGTAGCATATATAGGTATCATACTTTTTCATGCTTCATGGGCGCACAGACATGGACAGTATGCACGCGTGTAAACCAGTTGGCGTGAGTTGAAAACGGGAGGTCGGACGTTGAGATCAAATAATGACATGGTGCAGTACATAGATGAATTGTGGACGTCTAATACAGATTCCTGGAAAGGCGGACTGGTGACAGCGGGCTATGGTGATCATACGGCAAGGCCCTCGACAGCCTGGTCGGAGCAGGTGGAACTGTACACGCTTATTCCCGTCATCCTATCATGCACTAAATGCAAGCTTTGTTACCAACTTCCCAGTATTGGCACCAGTGAAAAGCCTTCCCCAAACCTTTGGGATGTCAACGAAGGGTGCCTCCGCAATGTCTTCGGCACGTTCGAGCGTGATGTCTCCCCGCTGAAGTGCTCCAGCAATGTCTGGAAATGCTTCCGTGGCCACTCTGTTAGACCCGTCTTTCGGGAACATGAAGTCAAGAACAACGAAGCCTTGAATAGATAGGCGGTTGGTTACTACTTCAATCCAGGTACTACCCATCGTGGGTTTCCCCACGTCCTTATTATATCCTGGGTATGAAGGTCAATAGCTATGCATACCGGCCAGATATTATACTAACCTGAAATGGCGCCACAAGCTGCGATACGACCATGCTGTTTGATTCGTGGAATCACTTGATCCAGGACAACACCACTATTGCATCATCTTTAGTTCATACAAGTAAAACGTCCTGCTCATTTAGCTTACCCCACACTGCATGCCGAAAGGCGATGAGTAAATATTCAGGATATAGACTACGAAAGACTCACTTGTCAAAGTATGCATCCACAAAGTCCGATGTGGCGTCAATAAGATCTTGAGGGAATGTATCTGATTTATAATTGAGGGCAACATCTGCACCGAGTTCCTTGATCCATTGGCATTTTTCGTCTGATCCCGCAATTCCGATCACTTTTTTCGCCTTGATCACTTTCTTGGCGTATTGAATGACGACATTCCCGACGGCACTATTTCCATAATTTTAGTGGACGGTACTATTGAACGGGCCAAGATAAACTCACCCCGCAGCCGCGCTGACAATCAGCGACTCTCCTTCCTTGAGTTTCAAGATATCCCTCAGACCATCTATATGCACATTAAACAAAGGATGACACCGCGCATTGATGACAATTACAGTACGCAGTAAATCCAGGTACTCCAAAAAGACCAAGAGCGGCAGTAGGTGACACATTTTCGGGTACCCTAGTTAGGTCAGCGGCGTAACACCAAGAGAAAGCACTCGCATACATTACGGGTAGGCACGAAGAGGGGTCTGTCTTGACCACAGCGTATCGTCGCCACCCAGCAGTCAAACAGTAAACTAAGTCGTTTACCTTGAATCCATGGCTAGTGTTGTCCTTGAGTAAAAGAACACGAGCGATGGAATGAGTCGCCATCACATCGCCTTTATGCACAGGAGCGGTGTAAAGGCGTTCTGGTAAGACATCTTTCTGGATCCATCCTAGAGCAACATGGTCAGCGACTGATATCGAACCTTGAAATAGAATATAAACCTCGTTGCGCAGGGTCATTGGAGATGTACAAAGTTTCCACGAGCATGTCCCCGTCCTCAACACGAGGCACAGGTTCTTCTGTCAAAGCAAATGTTGCATCGTCAGAAAAATCAAGAACTACAGAGTCTTGAGGGGAATTCTTGATGCGCCAAACTGGTGTATGCGTTGGGAGGGACATGTCGACTTTGAGGACTGTGGATGACGAGCTACTGTTCTGTGGGTTGGAGTACAAGAGGCAGTGGCCCGTAATATAACTTGTGGATATATATCTTGGCGCCTGCGAATATGATCAATCGAGTTCTGGATGGAGGAAGATCACATCAATTGTCTTCGAATTCTCTGGGATAGGACACCCACAGCACTCTCAGAATGGTAGTAGTTGTCTGATGAACACCCTCTGTCCGGTTATTCCGACGTCAACATCACTCGGGTATCCCAGGATCGAGATGTCCTCGTTCCATCAAATGGTCACATTCTACTCGAATGTTTCATCAGGAAGTTTCATCCTGGATGCCTTGAAATTACCTTGTTCACACAAGGTCACTCTCACAATTGTGGGTGTGGCGTACCACAACAATGCGCCCCTTCGTACTATCTTTTATGCTCCCCCGTCTGATATGCAAGACAACCACTCTGTATTCCAAACATGGCTCCAGGCCAACGTACAATAAGACATTGCTGTGCTGTTGATTTGTGGCAATCTTGTACAAATCTTGTAGAGGTTAAGTATCTATTTTGTTATGTCAATTATACGGGAATCTGTCGCAGATTGGACTCACTGCGTTAATGTTTGTATCTGTGCTACCACAAATAGCTTTGACATAGAAAATTATTACGCTATGCTGAAGTGAAGGTCATGCGGGCAAGCGGAGTCCCCCAGCTCCATGCTCGGGGGACTCGGTCACAGTCAGAGTCGCTCGGAATACGATGTACCAACAACTCAAATTTCTCGCAACATCTGTGAGGCCTGCGGATGATGTGCTTTGCCTCTAGACAGCATCAGTCGTTCCCTGGTCAATCATGTATGCATGTTTTGATTTGTGTCTTCCAAAGTCGAATGCTCTGTCGTGACGGTGATGTTGAGTGGAGTTGATCGCCATACAACTATGCAAACGGTCGTCACACGTGACCAATGCCGGCGGCGACCAGTCCGGATTATTGAAACTAGGACGCGGTAGTGACCGCTTCGGGCAATTTTCTGGTGATAAAATTGATATGTACATTTATTTTTTCCCACCAATTGGTTTATTCGAAGAACGTTGAGCTACTTGGAGGATGTCTGAGTTGAGTATTTTCCAAAGGTACTACTTACTAATTATCACAAGTTTTTTCTAAGGTCTTTTTACCTTGTTTTCGCCACGGCTTGGCAGCCGAACGGTGGCAGGGTGGTAACAGGTCACTGCACACTCGCCGTTCATGACCGCTTGGCATGACCGAGGAGGACCGAGGTCACCGATTCCTTCCCAACTCCATTCTCACTGTATTTATCAATCGCCTGACCACTGCGGTGGCATCGCGTTACGCATTAGTGGTTCGTTCTCACTAGGTTTCCGAATGCACTTTGTAACCTCAGCAGTGGTTTTGCAGATGCGGCGGCCCTACTACTAGGCCCTTCAAAATACTGGTTCTTAATACAGGCAAAAAATCATATCGCTAGGACCATTGGTCTATATATTTTTAATTGGTTCCTTGCGTGCTTGATTGTGACCGGACTGAGGTACACAATTGAATATTGAACTTCCGTCAAATGTTAGGTACAGTGTGTTATATACGGTAGGGTAACTGAATTTCGGTGTTATTAATGGTAGGTAGAACCTTGTCCAAAGCTCTTACTACACGGCCAAACGTTTTACAGTGTGTTGCATATGAGACTGCAGTACAAAACTCGGCCTCACTAGCGGAACCGGCATTTTTGCACCCTAATTAGGTCAAGGGATGTGACATATCACTCTAGCCCACCTCGACCTCACATAAACCTTACCTATTTGGGTTGCCATACACCCCTGGGAACGGCAAACTAATTAGCTTGCTTTTCATCAATCTCTTACACTGCCAGTAATTAGTTCAATAACGCTGAATATTTCTAACATGGTAACATAAGATATCAGCAATGTCCGCTACTGTACCAGCAACGAGAGATAACCTTCTTCTTTAGGCAACTGGGTGTCCCGCTCACGACCAAACCTTTGCGCTCGTCGTTGCCCACAACGAGCTCGAATATGATCTCGGAATTAAGTCTAAATTCACTCATTTCTTTCTATCTGTTCCTAACATTAACTATAGCTATAGCCATGCACATATACCAGTACATCATCGTCCCACTCACAACCAAACCTTCGCGCTCGTCGTTGCCCACGATGAGCTCGACTGCTCTCACAGTTGCAAGAACTTAGCATAAAAAGATACTATTCATTATCACGAGGCTAGATAATACCCGGGCATGTATGTAAACACTCACAACAAAATAAGCACAGAAATCAAGAGACGCAATAATGGTGTCAATGGACCAGAGAATTAAGACCCTACATCAGGAGACCCTTGCAATGTAGCAGCTTGGCCCGAGCTCTTTTTCTTTCGAGGACCACGCTTCTGACCTTTATCACTGCGCTCCTTGCGAGTCTTCTTTGGTATGTTGACACCAGTTCCATTCACCATGGTCACGACGTTCACAGCGTGAGTTGATGTCTGTTGCTGGCAAGGAAGGGAGTTAGAGACTTGTACACCATCAACAGAGTCGAGCGGAGGTGCATTGTCACATCCTTCTATTCTGTTCTCCTGTCCTTCACCATCTACTTCCATCCCAGCATCTCTCTCTGCTCTCGCCTGATCCATTACAGCCTGGAAACGCTGGTTATCCCACTCATTAAACTCGCTATCTGTGAGCTTGCGGAAGCGAGTGGCATTCGACTCCCATGCATGGCTCAAAACAGTGAGCTCGGTGCGTGAGCTGATGTCCCCTGGGCAGCAGAACTTCTGGAGTGGCCAGTTCTCGATGATGACCCCCAGCTTCGCAGTAATGTAGGTGTCGAAATTTTGGTAATACATGCGTGATACTTTGGTGGGGGCTGCTGCTGCCTCTATCGGCCAAGTCAGATTACAAGCAAACAAAAGTCTTAAAAAGAAGAGACGCACGAAGCTTTCGTAAAATCATCTCGCTGATAGATTTCTTGAGATCAAGGACTTCTTGAAGGTGAGACTTGGCAAGACCTGACAGTGCAGAACTCAGTCCGATACGACGAGAATATGATTAGGTGCTTACCTTGTACCCCAGCTATACAGAATGCCTCAAAGCGCACTGCAATATCTGCAATGGAGGAACCCAAGCATGCATCAAAGAAGTCAGCAGCACGCTCGGTGACAAAGACATGTGGCTGGTTGAAGTGGTCAATGTTTGCACGTGAGGTGAGCAGCACAACCTCAAGGCCCGTACGTGCATTCAAAGCACGAATCTGTTGTTTGGCGTTAACCAATGGTTGCTAATTGTTGAAAAATCAAAGATATACTTCACGGTCAAGTGAGTCGAGACTTTTCCGAACGTCTTGAAAAGCATTCAAAGGCACGTTGTGTTGGGCAAGCTGCTTGGATTCGCGATGGTCTTCAAGATCTTTGATAGCATCCGTAGTCTCGTTCTTTTGTTCGTCTTTTGACATGTCGTTCCAACGCGCTGCAAGTTCTTTCACGCACTGAGAAGCTTTGAGGCAAGCAGAACCAGGAGGACGTTCTAGTAAATGTACAAGGCATTGAGCACAACAAACAAAAACAAGTAAGGACACATGTACCTTCATTCATCCGTTTCACCTCACGGCGAACAAATGCATTCCATCTCGAGGGACTACGCGATGATGTGGCCATGCGAGTACGCTGCATGAGCTCTTCATGATAATACTGAACACTATGACTACCGAATTTTTCATGTAGTAGCTTTGCCTGCTCCTGCACAACCTCACGGGCATTCTTGAGAGCTTCAGCATATGCAATGCGATGAGCTAGACGTTTTCCCTTCAAAGCAGCCTTTTCGCTGGCAGTGTGCTTGTAGTGACCCTTGCTGCGGTGGCGCCAGGGCTTCCGAGGCTTTTGAGTAGTGAGTTTCTGCAATTTCGTATGATAGCGGCCAAGCCAGTTTTTGGATTTCATAGTGTGAAACAGCGAATAAACATTGAATAAAGAGTGAAGAAATGCTGAAAATTTCGCGTTAGCGTCAGTTATGTATATAGCCACGTGACTTCAAACAATGACATAGAGCGATAAGTAGGAATACGTGAATCAGAAGGTATTGTCACCAGTTATGATCTGCCACAGCCATCGCGCTTCAGTGACAGAAAGACCCCTTCCAGAGATATCCCGAACAAAATCCTCCCCAGACTGAGAGACTTCCACTGCATGTGCAATACAAAGAACAGCACGAGCAGTGTAACCATGGGATTGCAAATAGCCGTCAGCCATGTCACCAAAAGAAGGAAGCGGAGTATCGTCATGAGGAGAGGCTTGATAATGTGCACCTGTGATTCCACTAAGCTCTCGAATGAATTGATGGACGCAAGGCGAGGCACTGATGGCATGTGACACTGATCCAGGAGTCATTGTTCTCCATGTATGAGGAGCCTTAGGTGTGACCATTAAGTTAGCACCAAGCGAGGCCGATGATTGCCTATGTGAGCTCGACTTAGAGTCAAAAATTAACCGGGCTAGGTTAAGTTTTACGATTAGTAGGACAAGCAAACGGTAGCTGTACTTACCTTGTAAGGCAGCTGATCTTGTAGTCTCAGTACCATGTGATGTTGAGGACGGTTTGAAGCCAGATTCAGAGGAATCTATAATAAGTTTTCTGATTAAATAGGACAAACACGCAATAGCCACACGTACTTAAGACAGCTGCTCTCGTAGTGCAAACCGGTTCTTCCTCGTTGAGTTTCTTGCCCTTCAGGATCATCCATGCCATGGCCTCAGCAAATGTTGTGAGTTTCTTGTACTTTGCATTGTTATAACCTGATACGGCGCCATGACAGTCTTCCCTGCATATATAACTGATCAACACGATACTTGAAGATCTAAAATAATACAGTACATACCATGTAGTGTAGATGCCTGGCGTAAATCCATAGATGACGACATAAAATCCCTGAATAGCATGGCACTGAAGGTCTCGTCGAAGAACTCCTTGTGCCATGTCTGAGTTAAGAAACAGCCGCACAGCGTCAGGTGGAGGTGTGAATTCGTTGATATCCTTCAAAAGTGTTTGAAATTGATTTAATTTTTGAGCGTATTCATCCCGCCGACAATGGATGGCGATAGGGAAGTAATGGGCACCATTGAGTTGAGCAGTGAATGGTCTGCAAGATTATTAGTTGTGTATACTACATGACAATAATACATACTGTTCACGAAAAATACCAGGTTTAGGTCCGCCTAAGACAACCCAATAGTTATTTCCAGCGCCTCCCATGAAAAGTGTTGAGTGATGGTGAGAGGAGAGAAAGATGTGACTGTTCAACGTTCAACGTTGAATGATCGATCAACGATCAATGATAGAACATCGAAGTTGAGTTGATTAGATGTTTAGATGTTGTAATCACTAGTCATTCCAATTTCACGCAATTCATCTCCATTGTGTATCGTATATCAGTGCTTTTTCTACTGTAATCTACTTGTATAGTGTAGAGTAGATTACCTAGTGTAGTTCTAAGTCATCCCAATTTCACGCAATTCATCTCCATCGTGTATCGGTGCTTTTTCTACTGTAATCTACTCTACACTATGTACATAAGTCATCCCAATTTCACGCAATTCATCTCCATTGTGTATCGGTGCTTTTTCTACTGTAATCTACTCTACACTACACAAGTCATCCCAATTTCACGCAATTCATCTCCATTGTGTATCATTTTTTACTGTAATCTACTCTACAGTACACGAATTATATCAGTGAGTAAGTGCAAGATCCGACAGGTATTCTACTAAAGTCCCGATATCCTGCATGTCATCACCTTCGTCATCGAGCGCCTCGATGGTTTCATCGTCACCATCACGATCGTGCTCATGCTCATGACCAACAAGGATACCGTCCATACCATCTCCCTCTCCATCGAGATCAACTCGCCCCTTCCTTAAGCCTGGAGAGGCCACCCCACTAAAGCCGGGAAGTGCATATATCTGGAAGATGCGGTCAAGGAGCTGGGAGTTGACCAGCCGCCGGTGTGTGCAGAATTCTTGAACAGCGAAATATAAAGGTGAGTCTTCAAGTGAAGAAAGAACACGAGTGAAGTGCCGGTCTTCGTCCACGATAGATGTATGCAAACGCCGGACTTCAACATTGCACCTCTCAATCTCTTCCTTCGCACGCTGTATGCGTAGCCATTGCCGCATCGTCTCACGAATAGCTGGTTTCGCCCACATCTTGTCGCGGATGTCTTGCTGTGTCTCACGGAGAAGATTGAACTCCTCGAGGAAACTGTAGTGCGACACCTTGGACCATTCAAGCGGCGGACGCGGTGGGTGGAGCTGTGATGCTGCCTCATTGTATTTCTTGATGGCAGTTTGAATGGCGTGACAACGCGTCTGAAGCGACTTCGAGATATGAGTGCGCATCTTGTAGGCTAAATAATCACATCACTAGGTGGTCATTGAAAGCCACAAAACACTTACCTGTCTGAGAGATATTAAGCTTTTGCAACTCAAATAGACGCTGCACTACTAGGCGCTGGAGGTTATCGAGGGCACGCTGATAGGTGTGCATCGCCATATATTTCATGGTTTCTTGATACTCTGGTGAGGTTGGCTGCCACCGGTGAGTGATACCCATCTTGACCTCCAAGGCGACTACCTCATGTTGAAGTGTGTCGAGGCGTTCGGAGTGGTACCTACGTTGAGTTTCAAGTTTTCTCGTAGCTGACACATTGGCGGAATATGACATGTCCTGTGAGGGGGACAAAAATTGATAATCGGATGGCATCGTAGATAGAAACTGCAAGGATGCATCGCTTGCGCAAGTCCTGATGAAAATAAATAATAGATTAACACAAATAACAAAGAAGACATCTACATAACTTACTGCGCGTCCCTCAACTTATGAAGAAGCTTGACATATGCCATAGCGTGGATATCCCACGTGGTCTCCTTGCCAAGACCAGCAATATATTCAATCTCTTCTTGACGCCAAGCCTCCAGATCACCATCCTGGATGCCAAGCGATGCCTTGGCACCATCGAGGGCAAGAGACTCCGATGCTATAATGTTAATAGATTGCTTGTAGTTGTGGTAGATCATTGTGGCAAGGTTCAGGTATTTGTCGTCGTCCCATTGTTTGAAGAAGAGATCGAGAAAGACAGAACGACGGTAGGCAGTTGCATAGCGGATGACAGGAGCGAGTGCGTTAGATGCACTGAAGAAGCGTTTGATGGCTCCGAAGTCCTCGATGCCTGCGCCTTGAATGCCATTTGGATGATTCTTGGTTTGACATGCGTAGTTGTGTGCGTAACCATGGAACGCATCAACGCAGATACGGCAGCCTTGCTGCTCGAATGCTTTTCCAAGGCTGCTGGCACGGATTGTTGATGCGAACCCACAGCCAATGTCATAGGCAGCAAGAGAGCGCTCGCCGAGGAGCTCGAGAACCTTAGATATAATTGCGAGGGGGTACTTGGCCCTATGTACAAGTCAGAATGCACGGATGGTTGATCATTGAAAAACTCACAGTTCTCCACTGCGAACCATATCTGCTACCCACAAAACAAGGCCATGGCGACAGGCAGAGACAAAGATGCCTGTTTCATCAAAAATGCTCCACATCCGCTTCTTTTCGTCGCTTGCAGCAGCCTTCCAGTTCTTGCTGCAGTCTGATGCAATGGTGTGTCTTGACGGGTCTGCATCGGCATCTTCATCAGCTTCCAGTGAGTCCAGGACGACTTCTGATTGTGTCACTGTATTTCGTGATTGCACCTCATTGGCAAACTGGTCAACGTAAGTGCGGGAAGAATGTAGTCACTCTCGGTATACTGCCGCATATCGCCACAATTACGTGCACCTTCTGCCATTCGTTTTGCTGAGTTCCCACCATCAAGGACATACATCCGTCCAAAGGTGAGAGTGGGCTCTCCCTCCAATTCATAAGTGCAAGGGGGGCAGGCATTGAGAACACGCCAGTTGGGAGCATCACGGCCAAGAGTTTCGTTGATCTTCCTGTCAACACCACGGAGAATGGCTAGGTAGGTATCAAATGCCCCCGACAAGCATGTACGATAGCGTCGTCGATAAGGTATCTAGTAAGACATCAGCATCAGTGTAAGAATGATAGGATATCGTGTACATACCTTGTACGAATCGCACAATACTTTTCCAAATGCCTCGATACTGAATGAGGGCTTGCGGGCTCGTAGAAGTCGGAAGTGTTCTAAAGTATGCAGTGAAAATGCAAGAGATGGTGCATGTGGCACATGACCCAGGTATCCGGCACGAACGAGTGCTGTAGTGGGAGACGGGCTGTCCGCATCACGTGGGATCAAAACTTCGGTGTCGAGCGTGAATATGTCCACAACTGGAATGTAAAAGTCATATTCAGATGGTGAACGCAGAGATATCGATGTCCTATGAGTTGAATTTGAGGCTTTCCAGAGGAGAAACAGATCGACGAGTTGGGGAAGAAGTGGGGCCCAGTTGGCATGCAGGTTTTCTACACGTCTGCGCCATGTACGGGAATCTTTATGTGTACGGTAGTTCCAACTATTTTTTCATCAGCAGCAGTGTGTGCTACTAAGTTAGAACTCACGGATTGTCAATATAGTCTCGGATGGCATGCACAATCGTTTCATCTTCATTCCAGGACTCAGGGATCGGTTCCCATTCCCCAAGTGGCCCTTCGTCATCAGCATAGTTCGGAGAGCCTGGGATTTGTGAGCGAACATCCCCCAGTGCAGCGAGAGAATCAGCACTGAGGCCTAGTGAACTAGTGAGCAGAATATTGAGTGTAGAGAAAGACTTTACCTGTTGTATTGATGCGATAACGGTCTTGAGCTGCAGACCGCTCGTGTGCTACTGCCCGTTGTCCAAGAATATCATTGCGATATTGTCCATTATACGTGAATCCCGTGATATGGACCTTGCGAGAAATGCCCTTTCGACGTTTGGCTGTGGTCATTGTGTAGGACGAGGATGCCAGAGTATGTCTTCAACGTGGTTGACAGTCAACAAAGTGGCCACGTGATCACATGCGCGTGTTAAACGAAACAAAGAACCTATGATGACATGCCGGTATATGTGCATAATGGCTATAGCTATAGTTAATGTTAGGAACAGATAGAAAGAAATGAGTGAATTTAGACTTAATTCCGAGATCATATTCGAGCTCGTTGTGGGCAACGACGAGCGCAAAGGTTTGGTCGTGAGCGGGACGCCCAGTTGCCTAAAGAAGAAGGTTATCTCTCGTTGCCGGTACAGTAGCGGACATTGCTGATATCTTATGTTACCATGTTAGAAATATTCAGCGTTATTGAACTAATTACTGGCAGTGTAAGAGATTGATGAAAAGCAAGCTAATTAGTTTGCCGTTCCCAGGGGTGTATGGCAACCCAAATAGGTAAGGTTTATGTGAGGTCGAGGTGCTCTAGCCAGTATACAAGACGTGACATCCCTTGACCTAATTAGGGTGCAAAAGTGCCGGTTCCGCTAGTGAGGCCGAGTTTTGAAAAACACGTACTGCAGTCTCATATGCAACACACTGTAAAACGTTTGGCCGTGTAGTAAGAGCTTTGGACAAGGTTCTACCTACAATTAATAACACCGAAATTCAGTTACCCTACCGTATATAACCCTCAACGATCCAACTCGTTCAGCATCGCTTCAGCCTCAGTCACTGAGACAAGCATACTACCGACTCGGATGGCTAATATCTTTACTCGTTACGATTTAGAACAGTTTAAATGGAAGCCCTTCGAGGGTGAAGGCCTCCGAAGTGGATGGGCTCGCCCTCTTGGAGGCGGTGAGCATGTCCACGATATTTTCAATCGCTATGTCAAGGGTGACCAAATGTTGTTCTTCGGGGTTACTATCGACTTGCATGACCCTGTGAGCATCACCACGCTCCGCTCTTCCGCTCAAGAGTGCTGGTGCTGGCTCCGCTTCCAAGTTCCTACCATTGCATCATCCATACTAAATGAATCGGATCACAAGCTGCCCACGTTGATCTATACAACTGCGTGTCCGCAAGAGATCAGCCGGTGGGCTCAGCGCACTCTCATTATCTATCCACCCTCACATGTCGACCTCGCCCAATTACGGGTCAACGAGGGTCAGAAGAAGGTCCCTTCATCTGATGGAGACTATACACGGATGCATCTTGTCCCTGGCGAAATCGTTAATGGGGCGGTCTCCAAATTCGGTCTGCTGTTCCATACCCATCATTCGCTGTTCGATGGCGCAGGCTTAAAGATCGTCATGAATCGCTACCTCACACAATTGGTGAAGGTGTTCTCCGACTCCTACAGCGCATCCGAGTTCATCGAATGGGGAAATGAGCTTAAAAACCTTCCTCCGGCAGTCTACAACATCCTAAACTCCAAAGAAGCGCTTCCTATTTCGCCAGACTCGCTGGAGGAACCTTGCTTTGACCATGATTACTACAAGTCCTTTGCAGGAGTCCTTTCCGCCTTGGGCGCGTCAACGAAGGTGCTATTCATTTTCTTTCGACTTTTTTTTCGTGGCTAATTACTGAACACCAAGGATACATACGGATTTAGTCCTCGCCCTAAAGATACAGAGTGGCCGAAGACGCGTCGCGCCGAGGTCTCCTTCACGAGGGAAGAATCAGAACGAATTCTCACTGCCTCGAAGATCTCTGGGTTCACAATTACACACATTGGTATGTAGCTACCTCCCCTCCATCAGTATGTCGGATTGAGAATCCACCAGCCCACGCCGCGTTAGCAATGGTCGCCATAGCTGATAATCCACCCAAATCGGCTTCTTCTTCCCATTACTTGAACAGCTTAGCTGTGGCTAATTTCCGAGGCCGGTTGGATCCCATACACGTGCTATATCCAGGCCATGCCCTTGGTGTTTTTATGGCCAGGATTCCGGTGTCAGCATTCTTGTCCCCTGATGGAAGTGTCTTGCCATTAGACAGGGACATACTTCTACAAGTAGCAGACATAGCTAAGGGACATTATCGAACCCTCATAGAATTGCCCGCTGGGTTGAGTTGCATGCCGCAGGTCGGTGAAGCATACGCTATGGTCATCGTGCCAGCTGCAGCTGCAAACATGTACGTGCGGGGAACGAATCATTTACGTTTGCTCATGTCATAGCAGGTTGCCACCCGATCAGTGTTACGCATTTTCCAGTGACGGCAAAGGTGAAAATTACTTGAATCACACTTTCGCGGATGACACTGGGAAACCCATCCTTTCGGTGAACAAGTTCTTCACATCTCTGAATAGATTCGACCCCGGCCCGTGAGTTTTCTAGATCTTAATAGTTCTACAATGCAATTAACTGGAACACTTAGATTCTTCCGTCTCTCCTCTTGGGGAGGCGTGATTGACCTTGGTGCTGATTACAACTCTAATATCATGAAGACGGAGGATGTGGTGAATTACTTGAATAGATGGAAGAGGTTCTTACTTCTGATCCTTGACAACTGAATGTTAACTGCATCATTGCCATGTTTATATCAGTTGGAACTAGATGAGCAACATGGACTGTTTCTGTACATCATAGCGGCGCTCCGAGTCAGCCGTGCCAGTCCCCAACGCAGCATGGAGACACCAAGAAAATACATGATTCGCAGGTGATTGTAGTACAACAACATCAAATTTGATTCATTTGAGATATACCATTAGCTTCGTCACATCTACCATTTTATTTGGAGTGGAACTAGTCTGAGTTTTTGGCAGTTTGCAAACCTCCGATTAGGAACTCGTGCCATTCTCATGTCTCCATTCACTGATGCGCAACTGAACAGATCTGAATACAATTTGTTCGGGCCATCTGTAGTGTATATGTGATGAGTGGCAAACGAGAGGAATGCCATGACCCTGCTATGGGACAAGCTACAGGTACTCTAGACACACCAGTCGTATGATATTGGACAGATACAAATACAAAATCTGATCTTGAACACCAATCGAACATGGTGTAGTAGTATACAAGTATACTACGTAGCTGAACGCTGGTAAAGCGTACGTAGGAATTTATGACTGTATAACGTATGGTAGCAGCAACATTATCATAACATGAGATAATGTACAAGAAATCACCGTTTCCCTCCTCAGTGTCTCTGAGACCTTCTGGGCGCGGCAACGGGTTGAGGAGCTGGTGGGAATTGGGGAGGTATGTACATAGCGTGTCTGCCCCTGTCGGCTTCAGCCATCAAACGAAGTTCCTCCCTCGCCACCGCGTGATGTCTGGCTTGAACGGCCTGAATGCGTTGCGCCTCCCTGATGTCTGCTTGACGCCTCAACTCAGCGTGGGCGAGTCGTGCCCGCATCATTCGCTCCTGAAACTGTGCATGAGCCTGGGCACGTTGAGCGAGCACGATTCGCTGGCGAGCTTGGGCCTCGAACATCTGTTGCTGAGCCTGGGCATTTAACATATTCATATTTCCTGGGTAGCCTGCATAGGGTAAGCCATAAGCGGGTACTGCATACGCATTCGGTACTGGACCATGCGCATTCGGTAAGGCCGGTAATGGCGGCAAGCCCCAAGGAGCGTTCATGGGCTGAAGTGGATGTATATTGGGCACTGGCTGAGCCGGACCGGCAATTGGTAAATCTATCTTGATGTTACTCTCATCAACGTCGGGGTGATCGCGTTTGACATCTTCCATCGCCTTCTTAGCTGCTTCTTGAACCTGGACAGATAGGGTGCCGTCAACAAAATTGTTCCATGATAATCAGCCGAACTTGATACCTCAGTCGCATGCCGCTGTTCTACCGGATCCCATAGCAGGCATTTGTTCTTATTAAAATGTTCGTATCCATTAATGATCTCCCGGCATACATAGCATGATACGGTTCGACAATTTGGACAGGTCATTTTGTTACACTGAGGTGCACGGTGAGCATGTGGTCTCACGACGAAGGGGGAAAAAGGCTTACACCATGTTCTTTGATGAATGCTGTGTGTAACTGTGATTAGAGCTACCGATTGAAATAGTTTGTAAGAACGTACCTTTCTGGCACTTCGGACAGTTTCGCATCAGTGCACGAGCTGAAAAATAGTGTCAAAATAAGCCGCTAATGATCATCATGCGAACGTACTCATTGCTTCCTCGATGACGTGCTGCACGTCAAGGTGTTTGTCTGATTCTACTTCTGGAGGACATTGTGAGTGAAACAGTCAATGGACACAGAATCGAAGTTACCCTTGCAGCTCTTCGGTAAATGGTCCTACTCAAATGATGAAAATTGGACCCTCTTCTGCATGAAGGTTTGGATACGTACAGGCTTCTTACATTCTCGACAGCTCACCGCACCGCAGTCCGTATTCTCACACCGAAAAAGCTTCTCCATCTCGTTCTCGATCACGCATTTATAATCGCAAAAAGGGCATTCCTCCAAGTTCTCAAGGCCGGCGGCCTCAATGTCCTTGCGCTGCCTTACGCGATGATACAGCTCAAGCAGCTTCGGTGTAAGGAAACGTTCCAGTTCGGACTGCGGAAAGAGAAGT